GTGTCCAAACGAAAGCTGATAATTCAAACTAAGTAGCACATATGGATGGAAAATTGTTTATGCATTAGCAGTTACGCTACGTCACATGGGCAGCCAACACAGTACAGTACAATACCTCTACATATACATGATAATGAAAGCTAGGTGCTTAGTTATAGCGATGGCGCGTAATCAGGCCGCGGCTCCTTGAAGCATCATGCAGAAACGGTGTACCTGTAACTGATCCTGAAGCGCTACCACTATATATCAGAGGCATATCCTGGGAAATCAAGTCCTTATTCCGTCTGTTGCCGTATTTGTTAGTGTCTAGATAAAGTCAGTACAAAGATAAGACACACGACTCGCTTTTATGATTGGTTCGACTCTTCTTTTTACTACCCTGCTGGCTGCTGCGCCAGCTGCAAATGCTGGCAGCCTATCATCCAGAGCAGTTATTCCTCATGACGAAGTAGTTGGGTTTCCACAGACGGTGCCCGACACCAGGATTGGCCAACTTTACCTACGATACAAACCCTTTCTGGACGTAGAACATGGCTGTGTTCCATTTCCTGCCGTTGATAAAGACGGAAATACAAGGTATATTCCAACTACGGGGTTACGAACAGCTGGCTAATAATCATAGCGGAGGGTTGAGGCCAACGGGAGCAGCTAATGGCGATTGCAATAAAAGTGCTGGCCAAGTGTATGTTTACGGCAAACACTACGACGGCAAATTTGGCATCATGTATGCTTGGTATATGCCAAAAGATGAACCCTTTCAAGGAATCGGGCGTCACCGCCATGAGTGGGAAAATGCGGTTGTTTGGCTCGCCGGCGATGACTTCGATGCGACATTTCTAGGCATAGCTGTTTCTCAGCATAGCAACTACGACAAGCGGACTTGGAATCAAGACCATCCCAACATCAACTTCACCGGTGATAGGCCGTGGGTGAAATACGGTTTCACCGGCTTGCTGAATCATCACCTATATTTTGGAGATGCGCAGGGTGCTGAGCAACCGTTGATTGCATGGGAAAGTCTGCCTGAAGCTGCTCAAGTTGCATTGAACAGTACTAACTGGGGGGCCGCAAATATGCCCTTCAAAGAAAACGATATAGAGAAAAATCTGGGTAACGCTAAACTCTCGTCGAAATGACCCCGACGAAAGCATCATCGCAGGCACCACAAGTCATAAACCTTTATCTCTAGGTGAATTTAAGATAGTGAATTTATAGACTAGCGTGGTTAATAAGCGAGCTGCCACCTCACGCAGGTTGTGCTATCTGTCGACAATCATAACTTGAAAATGTATCTAAAGAGGCACGACTTATTCTGACCTTAAAGCTCTCTAAATAATCTGTAATTAAATTGTGGGAAAGAAGCGTCAATCTACAGCGTACCGCATATAACCGTACGCTACCGAAGTAAGGCCATAAACTTGCACGGACTCCTATGTAGTGCAAGCCACTTCGTTACACTTAGCTAGTTGTCAATATACCCAGTTGGAACCATTACAATCAGTTCCTTAAGTTAGCAGGAAAATCGCGTCGCGCGGCGTACCACCTCCCAGACCTAACGAAGAAGCTTCTCATGACCGGCAGAATAGATCTTTGCTGTAGACCTTACATTTAATTTTGATTCTCCTTCCATTTTCCTGAAAGTCCAGAAACACATCAGAGTGGTCATTTTTATATTCAATTATATAATACGGAGCGTTTGTACTTTTAGTAAGACTTGCATCATTAAAGATTGTGACGCTCACTATATTCATACGTTACAGCTAAGAAGAATTAATTAGATACACTTTAGCAATTTCGGCATACCGTCAGTAATACATTTTAGGAAGCAGAAACGTCAATACCGGCGTTCTGCATCGCCGTCCGTAATTGAACAGTCAGCCTACTGACAGGATTACAATTCATCCCACGTGGTCTGATGTTTATTGTGGACATTGCCATCCTGCGTGGGGTGTTCGAAACGAGACCGGACTAAACCACACCGGCATTGGTTGACTGGCGCGATAACTAAGAACCACCTGTACCATCACGCCCTAACCCTGCCATGGTTAGGTTAAACTAAAGGTAAAGGTACATTGCCCTCTGGCAGGTGCTGTAACCAAGGCGCCTTATAATGCTAATGACTCTGAATTAGCGGAGTAAGCAACTGGCTGGATCTCATGCATACGTTCTTGTGTTCTTATACCCCTTGTATTTCGGCACTACTAGTCTGCAGTGCAATGGGAACGACGCTGCTATCGCTATATAAAGCTTCCCTTCGAGTTACTAGGTAAAGCGTACTCTATCATTTCCTTTGCCCTGCCTCCAATGGATTGAATTGTGTAGCGTTCCTCTCCCTTGTGCTAGTTGTGCGAACGGTAGCCTGTCAGTACTTCATTCTGTTTTCTCGAGAGGAGATTAGTTCGATTCTGACGTTGTTAGTGGATTAAAAGACCACTGTCAAGAATCTCCGTGTCTGCCGGCCGCTGAAACTCCGGTAGTAGCTACCGATTGCTAAGTTAGCACAAATGACATCCAAAGTTTTACCACAACTAAGCGATATCAAGTTAATTTGTATGTCGCCTTATTTAACCATACACGAGGGTAGCCAGTTCCCTAGTTCCCATGAGGTATGTTGCGGATTACTTATGTTATCGCGAAACGTTGTAGAGAGAAAGTCTTATATTAAGCACGCCGGCCCACCTGCACTTATACGGATATATCGTCATAACATCACCGAGCTCGTACATCTAGTAGTGAGAGGGCTTACCTGTCACCTGCTTTATATATAAACAACAATCGACCCTATAGCGAAGATGGTCTGTTTGCATCATGTTGTATTTGGCATTGTTTCACTTATCAGTATCACCAATCAGCGCTGCCCTCAAATCAAACAAATCAAATCCGGGCCTATGTTCTTTAAGAGAATTAATCACTATCTTGAGACACCCCTTTCGCCAGCTGGCCCGGGTCAGTCCGTAATACAATTAAAGAGTGACGCGAGGTGGCCCGCTCACCCTTGAACCATGTTAATTAAAAAATCTTTAGTTTTTTTTCCAACCCTGGGAAGAGCTCACGAGACATCTTTGTCAAAAAGGCGGGTCTGATGGTCCACCAATTAGCCCCGCGTTTTGTGATATGATGAGTTAGCACCAACTACTACCACGATCCAATGCTTAGGCTCCGAGCACGAGGAGAAATGAGTCATTAAATATACGAGATTCGGTGAGACTGATGCCAGCGTTGGCTAAGCTTGTAGATTAAATATTTAGAACCAGCTAGTCCTTCATTCTTGCAAATAGTCACAATCAAAACACCTTAGCTGAAGTTGATCAAAATTATTCATGGCGCTACCTTCCTACCGGTTGGACTTGTTTGTCCGTGCTGGACTCCTTAACCCCCAGAGAGTGCTGATATATCTCTATGAAAAGAATCTCATTAGCGCCCCGTATCTTAATGTTGTCTCAGTCGATCTAAATGGAATGACTGCCCCTAATAAACCGCCAGGAACAGTCCCCATGCTTCGAGTTCCCGACGGGACCATAATCAACCAATCGATCGCTATAATTGACTTTTTCGAAGATCTTTGCGAAAATCCGATGGAGGAATGGCACAAAGAGTTTGCCAAAATTGCAATGAAGGGCAGCATGCGCGGCAACACGGCCCAAGAACGTGCCCGCACTAGGGAAAAGCTCGGGATAGCAGATGAGCTGACGCTACAAATCGGATGGGCCGCTCACAAAGGCAATAAGCTTTTTTCAGCCCACGAGGAGACGAACGTGGACGCGTCCAGGCTTATGCTACAGTGCGCTCGCAAAACCATGAGACTATTGGAGAAGTACTATACCCAAGAAACAAGGACTTGGGAGAGTGGAGAGGTTACTGTTGCAGAGTGTGTTCTTTTCGCCATATTGGCATTTGCAAACGACTTCTACGGGATAAAGCTAGCTATCAGTGATCGCTTCCCTGCATTGGCAAGGTTTTATGAGGAATTCGGCAAAAGGGAGAGTACTAAAATTAGTCCTGGGGAATGGGAAAGTCTTGCACATATAGGTGAAGCAATGGGGCAAAGTTGGATGTTCGAAGACGTCTGGTGACAGACATCGGGAGCAGTTTCACTGTATTGTTTATAGTTAGAAGGTCAGGGAAGGTGAGGCGATTGTAACGAAGTGGCTTGCACTACGGGTTCTGTCCTATGTAGTAGACAGTTGCGGTGTAAGTGGACTAAGTCCAAGAGCAGTAGTAACAAAGGGTTGGTTAGGCGGTCGTTAAGGAGTTATCCTCAATTAACAAGTAATTGCTTAGATTAATCACTGAAGATCTGAACTATACTAGAGGCTATCTAACTATCTAACGTGTTTCACGGGCGAGTGGGCCACCTCGCGTCACTCTTTAATTGATTGAATAAAAACCTTCAACAAACAACACATGATGGCGTGGAATAAATCAAATGAAGCTGATGTAATCTTAGCTCTTCAAGCTATCCGAAAAGACCCTAATCTCTCTATTCGACAAGCTGCACGAATCTACAACGTCTCTCGAATGACACTCGAACGCCGCCGCACCAAAATCGCTAGTCGAGCCTATACGACTCCAACTTACGAAGAGGATACAATAATTCAATATATCCTTAACCTTTCTTCTCGAGCTTAGCCTCCTCGCTTGCGTGACGTTGAAGCTATGGATAATCGCTTACTAGAGCTACGCAGCGCTGCCCTTAAATCAAATCCTATCAAACAAACTACCAAACAAATCAAACAAATATTGTCCAATCACCTTTTCAAACAAACAAATATATAATTCTGGATTTGATATACGTTTGATGCCTTTGAAACAGCCGATTTTGTACGCTTGGCGAGCCGCCCCTACCCTAGACACAGGTTTTCACTGGTGGCCTCTAGTAGAGACATCTACATCTACAGGGCCAAATTTAGCTTTTGTAGAATTAGGTAGATAATATACTCGGATCGAACCTAAAAGACACCCGAAAACTCGTTTATCGCATCTAGCGTGCTGCCAAAGGTATGGCGATTGATCTCGTCACCCCCGAGGCCACCAAGGTGCGGACACCCGCGGCTACCACGAACCCAATTCCAATCAGCAAAGCCTAAGCGGCATTGATTCAAGGAAGAGTTGCGACAACTTACCAGCCGTTCCTGCCTAGTAGCAGTCCAATACTTCCAGGACCCCTTCCGTACCGAGGACGAAGCCCTAAACGAAACCGCCCAGACTACACATCGAACATATACCACAACCTGGCGGACGAACTAGATAAACCTAGCCCAATTGACATCGAGCAATATACCGAAAGCGTTCTTACGAAAGAAATAGACCGCCTTCAGACGCGTACCGAAGTCCTGAGAACCTTTGCGACCGTGATTAACGACTGCGCCAAACAATACACCAAAGGCTACGCTCTGCAAATCGCACGGGATTTTTCCAAATCCCTCCTAAGCCAATGGGATAACTTTGTGCGTCAACAACCCGGTGAACAAAAGGGCACATACCCTAATGACAACATAGCGGTGAAGCTTCATAAAGCCGCTGCGAATATCTCGAACCCCGGCCTCGATCCCCGCCCCGCTCCGGCCGGCGGCTGGGCTGCCCGTGCCGCTGCCGCTGACGGAAAACGGCCCGGCGATATCGAAGTCCGCAAGGCCGCTCGTACTAATAATACACCCCGAACACAGCCCGCTAAACTCGATAAGCGTATCCTTCTCCGTATTAAACATCGTTCTGAACTCTTCAATAAACACGGCTACCAAATCCGCCTTGCGCTCGCACAGGCTGCACCTATCGATCCCAAGGACATCCAAGACATCAAACCAACGAACGCCTGCTGGGCCCTCAGTGCGCGGACTCTCAGAGCCCAAGAGACTCTCCTCTCTACCCAGGGGAGCTGGGGACTAAAGTTTGACTTGATTATTGCTGAAAAGAATGTGCAATGGCACACCTACCTGGTTAAAGACTTCCCTCGCACACTGACAGATTGGGAAGGCGCCCCCCTCGACTTTAACCAAGTAGTCTCTGATGAGATCCAGCGTTAAACACAGCAAACCCCCGTTGCCTGGCATATCTCCAAAGCTGACACGCTCACTGACACTCGCACTGTAACGCTTGTAATCTCCTTCTCTGAACCAGTACTGGGGAACTTCCGGCTCCTGGGCACGAGCGCCTTCTCTTTCAAACTGACCAAGGCGCCAAAGATCACCCAGTGTACTAACTGCTAGAATTACCATGAACCGACTAGATGCATAGCCCCAGAAGTCTGTAAAAACTACGGCTAACGAACCGGTGATAACCACAAGCCCGACTCGTGCACACGATTCACGCAGTGCGTACTATGCCATGGACCACACCCCCCAGACGATAAGAAGTGCTTCGCAAAACCAAAGAAGCGCGACGACGGACTCCACAAACTCTCAAAGACACAACGTGTGTATGAAAAACTCCTCGGGTCACAGGCATTCCGACAAATACATAGAGAGGATCTACTCTCTAGGTCCCCGAATGGCCAAGCATCATCTGCTCCCCCGTCCCCCACCCCTGGCGCCAGAACCGCCAACCTTCAAGAAGGCTCCGACTGAAAGAAGGGATGCGCTTTGATTTCAGAAGTCCCATTAGATCCTAACCATTTGTTTGGATCTTGCAACAAAAGTTTGGTCATGAGATCATGGGCTACGGCTGATGGTAACTCTGGAAGAGCATAATCTGAGAATATTTTGCGGCGCCGTTCTGTCGCATCTTGGTCGTAAAAGGGTGGAAATCCTGTCATCATCTCGTAAAGAAGTACCCCCAGTGCCCACCACTTTGCCATTTTTCTAATGGTACGTACCTGGTTTTTAAGCAGCTCCGGAGCTAGATACTCTAGCTAGGAGTCGTCTTTGCGTTGGTATCTTGACGCGCTGTGGCAAAAAGGTTAAGATCGCAAAGAAAGGCATGGCCTGCTAAATCCAGCATGATATTCTTTGGCTTTATCTCGTAGTAGGAAGGAGTGACTTGATCTATAAACTCTAATGCGCATATAATTTCAGCTGCATAGAATTTGCATCTCTCTACGTCGAAGCGCCGTGCCAATTGGAGATAGTAAAAGAGCGGTCCGCCTTCAAGAAATGGCCAGAACAAGTAGAGTTTTGTGTTTGATTTAGCCATGAATGCCAGCGGTACCAGAAAGGGAGCGTTGGCAAATAATGCCGTAGAGTTGTGCTGTGTATGGTAGTTTAACGGACGTCGGTTAGCTCGATCTCTGCCGATGCGTAACAGCAGTTGGTATTTGTCTTTAATATTTGAGAAATACAACCCAAATTACTTTCCCCTATAGTGGCAAGGCCTTTTGTACTTCCAGTTTCAATTACTGAATTGACGCTATATATGCATTCAATTTTTATCTTTCCAGTGCCAGCATGAACCGGAAACCAATGCACGTCGGATATTGTGTTCCCATGTACTGCCGGAGTAATCTTGACAATAACGAGGAATATATCTTGGCGACTATTAGCACAGGTTTTGGTGGTTAAGTAGAGACGGATGGTTAATTCAGCGAATCTAAAGACATCCAATGCAATTCGACGTTTTCTGTATGCCATTGTCCACACCAGGTCCGTAATTTTTCCCGAGGAAGCATGCATCGTGATTTGAGACAGCGCAAACTCAAGTACAGCGTACATCTGTATTCGAGGGTAAGAGGTTATAGGGTTATGAAACCTTGGATCAACCTTAGAACTAATCGAATCGGTGAGTTTATATTAAGGTTCTGCAAGTTTATGACGTGAGAGCGAGAGGCCCGAGGCCTCGTGAAGAGTTACATATAGCACTCCAAGTCCATGGTAATTTTCCGATGGAATAGGAACAATACAAGATTCTTGTTTTGCATGCGTTAACCCAGCACATATTCTTGCCATGACATAAGTGCATATACGTACAAGATTCTTCTTCACTTTCGGGAATGTTCTCTGCTGGCGTGGCGCTGGGGAAGTGAACGGGGAGCAAATCAACTGAGTCGCTCAATTTAGCTATGCTTTAGACACAAGATTCACGAAGAATAAGAAATAAGCGGTATAAACAATAAGCATGAGTGATCTTTAAGAAGCCGCCGCGTACATTTCCATACCAAATGAGATCCACGGTGTATAATAAGTCGATGTACGTCACGCTAAGATGCACGCACGACGCGATAGCTACCTACTGCAGTTAGCTCGATAGAGTGACGCTTACGCGTAATTGCTGAGGGAAAGTCGAGGTGGCAGAGGCAGTGTGATTGATTGAGGGAATCCAACATTGATTTGTTGCAAGCCCCGTAAAATATCATGGCGCAGCACAATTTCCCGCGACCATGGCATTGAGTTGATGGCCAGAGCGCACAAAACGTCCCCGGTATCTTGCAAAGTAATTTAAGAATTCACTAGGCGATTTGCATTGGCTGATATACCCGGATCATGATCATACCGAGGCTAGAGGTGCCTCCTTGTTTTGCCTCCTTTCAATCTGAGAATTCGGCCACTGACCTTGCTTCGACCAATCGGACATCACGGCCAATCAGACAGTCGGAATACCTGGCGATCTCTCCTAAAGCCACGTTTTAGGAGGCCCCCCAACTACGACCAAGTGTCACGAAGGCAAATGACTCTCATTTAAGTGACTTCCCCGCCATCGGTTTTACTTTATCCGCCAAGACTGGCGCTGCGACGAGCGCAGACTGAAGGCTTAGCCAGACAAAGCGTGTTAAAAACCTAATGGTTATGCATGCCAACTGCAAGGCAAACGCCGCATCCAGCCAGAAGGCTCCCTCGGTGAAGCGTTTGGGGTAATGGGAGAAGGTACGCCATGCCCTAGAATGGATAGAATGTGGCTAGATGAACAAGGTTCGCTAGATAATGCACTTCCTGAATCGGCAGATGTATGCCAACCCCACAATTCAGCCAGCTTTTCAGCTTTCTTATCGCTATGTATAAGACAACCACTCGCGTGCCTTAGCTTTGCGATAATTTGCTAGAAACAGTAAGAGAGAAACCGTACCGATATAGCGTCTTCAATGCATTTGAAAAATGAAGTTGTCTCGTGCCGTTGTCTTCTCCACGGCCGCTCTTGGTGCCTGGGCTGAGACCTCAGTGCTTTCGCTGCCATTCTCTCAGGATGTCCTCTCCACTATGCCACTATGCGCAGTAAGATTCCCTGAATCCAAGTCAAATCTAATCACATCAGATAACCTGTTAAAACTCTTGATAGGCTTCCTGTCTTGCCAAGACCTCCGCAATTTCCTCTAAGCCCTCAAACAACCAGACCGCCAATCTTTGCAAAGACGTATTGTTTCAACAAGAGGCGATCCTATGTGTTCGGCATATGTGCACCATCATGGAAACGCTTGGTATGTTTAGAATCTATCACATCCGCCGCTTTGGCGAGCTTTTCACTTGAACCTCTGTTATATACCGATGTCGTATGCTAACACCCCCTCGTAGCAGCTCAGAATATTACGAACACAGCCTGCAACGTGCCACTCCGAGATCGTTCCAAGCAGTATATAGAGCTTTCTCTTGCGATGGGCATTGCCGGCTCTTTCACAGTGATGGCCAGACTTGTCTTCAAGCGCAGATACAATCTAGGCCTAGATACAGATGACTGGCTGACAGGGAGCCTGTTAGTAACGAGCGTGGCTACAATAGTCGTCAATCAGTATAGGCTGACGAACAATGGGCTTGGGCGTGACGTTTGGACCATAACACTCTAGCAGCTTGTTGATCTGCACATGTACTTTTGGATCGCCTCGATCGTATACTTTTGGAATGTGGGTATACTCAAGATTATCCTTCTTGTGTTTTACCTCCGAATTTTCGCCGGCTACTCCAGAGGTATTGACCGACTACTCTGGGTATTTTTGCTAGGCACGGCTGTCTGCATGTACACCTTTGTCTTGCTGGTTATATTCCTATATAACCCAATTGAGTTTGCATGGAACAGGTGGGATGGCCAGCACCAAGGTCGATGCCTCAATACAAACCTAGTGGGTGTTTTGCAGTCATGGATCAACTTAGCCCTCGACATAGGTGTTTTTATAATCCCACTGTCGCAACTTGGACACCTTAACCTACATTGGAAGCAAAAGATCTCGGTTGGAGCTATGTTTTTCCTGGGTACCTTGTAAGTCATTTCCAAACATTTTTGTTTGTATTTCGTTCATGTTGCATAGGTAGTAGACTGACCTCTCTGTAAGAGCCACCATAGCTGGCTTTATCCGACTTTCTTGGATTCTCCAATTCCAGGTGGCATCTCTGAATCCAACGCAAGACTTTTTTTTACTATGCTACTTGTCCAGTGTACAAGTAAATATTGGAATCATCTGCGTTTGTATGCCGACGATTCGACTCATGGTTCAAAAGGCAATTGGGTTCAGATCGACTGTGTTGGAAGGTAGCAGCCAAGCTATGAGTCGCTTCAGTGTTGCAGACAGGCTCAATCGATTGAAGCACAGAGCTCAGCTACCGAGTAAATCCAGACCTATTATTCGTCATATGGGGCTGGTGGGCTCAACCGCCCATAACGACACTCTACGTGGCTGGAGTCCTAGTTACGACGACGATGTAGAGTTAGCAGCTTAGAAAGGACGAGAACAAACCAAATATATTCATAATCTATAGTATCACGGCGTTTTTTCATTATCAAGCACAACTAGGTTAATTTAATGTTTTGCGTTGTGTCTGTCACCTATGTCCATGTCCGTCAATAGTATGCTTCTTGTCAGTTCTGGTCGGCGGCGGTCAAAGGGGATTTTGTTACATTTGTTGATAATAGTGGGCAGACAAGGGGCGCTGCTTTACCAGAGAGAATATTGCCAAAGCTCTTGTAAGCTGCCGTTGTTGCATCGCGTTAAATGAGCATCGAAGGCATACGAAGTTTCATCTGTTGGATTATTTTAGCACTGTGTACACTTGCTATCTAGTAGCACGGTCGTAATTAGCGAATTTTCCCTGTTACTTACATTGACTATTCCGTCGGCATAGCGGACACCAAGATCATTGCTAATATAATGCAATCTATCTTTCACCCACGCACGCTGACTATCAGTTGTATAGTCTTGAGCCAGGATACATGTTAGTGGCCAAGTGGCGAGGTAGCCACCCAAACACTTTGCCGCTTGCTCATCACCACATGCAAATGAAGATAGCTTGTATTGCGGGAATAATGTGGCCCTACCATTAGAAGGGTTCCAGCCTAGATAGTATGGTATAGACGCAATGATATCGAATATCATGTCCACGTACTTGGTCGCGGCTGTAGCATACTCTGGCGTGGTGCGATAGTCTAGTGATTAGCAACCCCAGGCTGTCAGGCGCATAATAACTGCCTATAACAGAATCCGTGAGCAGCGATATATATTCCAGAGAGCAGCTATCATGATGTTAATATAGAAGTCGACTCTCCCTGTAAACCCTTCATTATTTACATGCCTGTCGTGTCGAGTAGAATTGATCCAAGCAACCGTACGCGGGCGGAAAAGTTGTGGTGGCAGCGACTTTGCCCAGGACACGAAGTCTTGGTCTAGCTGACGAAGATGTCGAACAAGGGCGGATATAGCTTCAATATTGCTCTTTGAGTGCAATTGGCTGTCTAGTCGACAAATGACCTCCAGCCTAAGCTGTGCTCCACGAATATAGAGCTGCTAGGCTTGTGCTGTGAAGTAGTCGCCACTTCCGAGAGCAGTATCCCACCAATTGATGTCTATCGGCGGGTCGCTTGCGGCTATGAATACTTTCGACAACTGCAAGATAGATAAGCTTTTGGTATCGGAGAGGTTTAGCGGTGATATACCATCTGGGCGCGAACAGTCAAGAAAAGGTCTCGGCCGATGGGCGTTTGCATCTGAGCCGATCCTCTCGCTTTGACCAACTGAATAGCCCCCTCAATGTGCGAACTCCATGCCGCTATGCCTGCCTTTTCGCCGACAAAGTTTTCGAAGTAGCCTAGTAACAAGATAGCAGCCAGTGTGGAGTCTTGGTTCGACAATTCGGGGTCCTGTAGGGCAGTGGCTGTGGCAGATATTACTTTAACATAGTGTCCACGAGCAATAAGGCCGCAAGTCTTTCCGCGTTGGACACGGAAGTGAAAGCAAGCCAAGGCACACGCTTCAAATGCGTACTTGAAGTGTGGCAATTTGGACGGTGAACTTGCATTGAGCACTAGTAGTGGAAGCACAAATTCAAGATAACCCCGAACGCCGTGGAAACGAGGAAGTAGAACGAAGTTGGAAAGAAAATGACATGTTGCCAGCTCCGTGACGGACAGTCTAAGCGAATTGCGAATGGGTGATGTGATTGACGACTGCGCAGGTGCGCCATCCGGAGCATCATCACTCCATCCGTTTTGTTTCTTTGCCAAGGTTCTGTACGGCATGTTACCTGTTTTCAATCGACTCACCCGCCTGCTAATCTCCCGCGTTTGGTCATGGAACAACCAAGCTGGAGCAGGTGGCTTGTATCCTGGGCACTGGCGCTGAGCCTTTAGACATACTTGGCATGACGGTCGTCCTCGATCGCACTAGAGAATAGACAAGGGAGCTAGACTTAGCAGATTTTCGTCTTATGAACGTTGAAGCCGGCGACAGCAGAAACCAACCAAATCGCGGCAAAATGGACGCCAACACACCTTGACCTTCCGACTCCTACAGAGGTAGCACGCCTGAGATTCATGTACACGGCGTGGCATGACAGCGACGGAAATGGGCAACTCGTACACTAAAATTTGAAACTGAATAAACAGTGGACTATATCAAGCGATGTTATTGCTTCGCTGGCTTGCAGATTTAAGACTAAGAAATAAATACGACATATCAAAGCGCCGTGAAGCATATCGAGCGGCATCCGTTTGCTTACTACCCTGCAGAATTCAGGCGCCATCTACAGCCCTGGTTTCTGGGCTAAAGGTGAAAAGGTGTGGTAGATGGTTTAAAGAGGCGCAAGGATTCAGAGGTGCCGAAACTATCGCGTGCGGCTTAGGTTGCAGTATCCTGTACCTCATCGACGGCCTGGCAGACCTCAGTGGGATTCGCACCAGTACGCCGCGCGGCTTCTCACGGGTGCCACCACCTTCATAATTTCAATAAAGCTGCAGTCTAGCATCGAACCTTGATTTAGCAGGAGTTAGAGACGTAAGACAGGGAGTTGAGAAATATTTAGAACGTGGACGACGCCCAGGTACAGTACACTAAATGTTGAAGCTGGGACAAGCCATGTACACCTGAAACGCCGCTGAGTACTAAAATTTAACTGACTTTCGCGAAACAGCAGGCTAGCCCCACAGGCGGAGTAACTTACTCTACAGTGCATCTCGGGCGCAGATGGTGCGGACATAGGAACGATTGTGTTACGGACTGACCCGGGCCAGCTGGCAGAAAGGGTGTCTCAAGATAGTGATTAATTCGCTTAAAGAACATCTTCCAAAGTCTTCCGCTCGTGGAAGACTTTATATAAAGACCCTGGATAGGGGTAACAAGCACGTCGCCCGAGTGATTGACAAGGCCCTTACCGGGCCTTGATCTTATATATTATATATTATTTAGTTTTGATTTGATTTGATGTATTTTCCGTCTATAATAGCCTGCAGTGGCATTGAGATGTGCTGGTCAACAGTGCCTTTACTAAGTAGAATTTCCTCCTAATTTTCTCGTGAAAGAGTTCACTATCGAAGCTTCGATCGGAACTTCGATGGTCGCTCCCGGGTAGGTATAATTTGTTGTGGTCGCGATGTTGTGGGGTCTTTCCTTCACGCGTTATCAGGAGTACTCTTCACTCCACCACCAGCAAGTTGCAGCGTCCGCTATCTACATTCGGCCCGTATCTCGTCAGCGAGAACACCGGGGTTGTTTTGTTCTGGTGGTCGTTATTGCTGAATTGTAACGATATTGGCACTACCGGGTAGATCGACCGGTTTGCTCAGTGCAGAAGCCAACGTCCCCTCCCTGATGTCGGAAGTCTCCTTAAAGTTGACAATGACTCTGCAAAGATACGCAATTTGCCGTGGGAGAACGGCCATGTGAGCTGGATATGACGTATCTGTCGCTGGTGTCTGTCGTTGGTATCTGCCCTTGACGCGTTGTTGAGTGCGGCAAGGGCCAAAATGATGATTTCACGCGCGGAGAAGGAGCCCGTGTCTCTGCCTAGTCGCCCAGCACAGAGGTGAAGAGCTGCTGGGCGCGGCAACGCAGGTGCCAATACCCTCATGGTGGATGATCCATGCGACTGCGTCGCGGCGGAAGCACAACTGTTAGTCAAAGGCCTGGCCCGCGCGCCTGCTGATGAGATGAACCTCGTCAACACAACTTTTCTCCTAAAGGTACACTTCGCCGCGTTCTTTCAGGTACCTCCCCGTGAAATCCTTGAAACCCATGAGACAAATTCACCAACCTAGCTCCGCGTTGACATGGCCCCGTGTCGCGTTCCGCAACCACTCACAATCTCGGGTGGTACTTCCATTCTTACTTGTATTAAGTTAACGTGGCGATTCGATGCGGTAGCCATTTTCGTGCTGTAGCCAGATCTCAAGAAGCTGGACAGCAACGCCCCTCTGGTTCTGGGCGAGTGTACATAACTTCATCGACAGACGCAAACGATCTGGCGGAGCACGGTGGAATTGCCCCTGGCAATCAGCCACCAGGGGCGCGCCACAGCACAATGACAGCTGCGAAAGCTGGTGCTCCATGACCAGTCTCCTAGTACTAGGGAGACGCGAACACGGCGGCTAGAAGCACGTTTCGGCGGGCTCTCGTCCTTACGTAAACACCTCTTGGCGACTAGCAGCGGAGCAACGAGACACTCCAGTACCATCCCTGCTCGACGGACCTCGTGTCAGAAACTGCATCGAAATCGGTCTATTTTTGAGCATCTCGTACCAACCCCTTCTACTTTCTTCCATCGAGAGGAGTAAATCGGCTACAAGCTCTGCCCGTCAGAGGTCTGACCTACATGCCTGGAGAGCCGACTGCCATGGCAGGGAACCGCCTTCGACGACATGGCCAAGGATACACTACCAGATCAGATGTGCGAGCTAGAGACACAAATACCGTATCGCAGCGGCCTCACCGCGGTCCTCGAGGCACCAAGCGCCGCGCTTCCGCGCTCCTCCCTCAAAAACCTGACCCGGCGCGACTGACCAAGACTATTGGCATTGACTTTGGATCGAGCGCCTGGAGCGCAGCCATCACGGACGGTAGTGGACCCCCAGAGAGCATCCCGCTGGGCCAAGTTAACAACAGCCACGACGGGACGCTTGTTTTAGCTTACAAATTCCCCACATACACCAGGTTTGGTGGCGACGAGCGCTTCAGAATCACAGGCCATGAAGATGTCCTCGACTTCACAGATACCAGCTCTGGGCTGAAGCAATCACTCGATGACGACCTGTGCAAGCCCGGTAGCGAAGGTCAGAAAACTAGGGAACTTTGCGAGAAGAACAATACAACCCCATCAGAGGTACTGGAGGCGCAGCTGGCGGCTTTGCTGGAGTTTATCACGGCGGAGCTGCGCAAGCGAGGGATCTCGCAAACACAGCGATGGAGAGTAAACTTTGCGGTTCCGGTCATGTGGACTTGCGACGAGCGTGGAAAGGCCATACAGAAGCAAATAGCAGCCTGCGCAATAAAAGCTGGCTTCCCCGACGACATAGCGTTTGATGCAGAGCCGTTCTTGACCGACGCGTATATCAGGCACCACGAGCAGCCTAAAACCGAGCGGCTACGGAGCCGGATCCAGGCCGAGCGTCTTCACATAGACGTTGGTGCTGCCACAACGGTACGTCAGCAGGCAGGGTGTATTTTCGTACGTTGTCATGCTGATCCAGGTACAGGACTTCACTTGTCGAGCCGCGGTCGGCAACAATGGGGTGGTGCTAACTCGCGACCCCGATGGCTGTGCTGGTGGCATGTCATATTTCTGGCCCAGGCTGTCCAAGCTATGTAAAGAAATGGGCATCGACATTCTCGCCGCAAGGCGTTACGTCTACCAACTGCACGACGACAGCACGGACTTCAGACAAGGCGACAAAGTGATTAGAGTCTCCGTTATCAAAACCATGATCGATAAGTGCTTCGAAGAATCAATCCAGATGGCGCAAAACATCCTCAAGGGCATGCCACGTGTGAGAAGAATTGATATCAGCGGTGGTGCCACATCCTCGAATCGTTATATTCAGTCTTTCTGGTGGCGCTCCGTACAGTGCGCTGGGCAAGCAAGCAGGGAGGGAAGCAACCACGCATTGGACGTGCAGTTCCTGGGACCCGAAGATGCTGTGTATGACTCTACTCCCATTTTACACCCATTTGTGCTAACACCTTACAGAGTTGCCGTATGTATGGCTGCGGCTGTGCCATTCTCAGACAACCCATTGCCACGCTTCCACGCCTGGTGCTTCGGATTCCGCTGCCAAGACCCTGAAGGAAGAGAATTCATCCAGCAGGTTAAGCCCCAGAAGTCGCCAAAGTTGAGGAGTGACTGGGAACAGGTTCTAGTTGACGATAAGGATCCGAGCAGCTTCGAGGTAGATCCGTACATGGTTACAGGCGGAAAGCAGCTGAAAAAGAAGTCGCATGACACATTTCATCCGGTTTGGCCGATGGACCACGCGGTGCCGATGGGCGCTATTGAGTTCGATTTAGCCGGCCACGTACTGCCGGGCCAGAAGGTCGGGGTGAGGTTCACGAGGCAAGATGCGCAAATTATTATCTTGGAGGTGGACTGTCGCAATGGAGAAGTGAAGAAGAGGACTTTGGAGCTTTGTGGCGATCGCGAGAGAGTATATTTCATCGAAACGCTGGATCAACAGCAGCCAGACCCAACAGCTGATCAGATTGAACGTCAGCTCGAACAAGATGGCGAGAAGGGCGACTCGCAGCTGATTGCTCGTGAGCAAACTAGCCGGCAACCTGAACAGCTGCAACCAACTCTATTGAACGCAGAAGTAGATCAGAATGGGTCGCCCATGGGGCAGGCCGAACAGCAACATACAATTGCACCAGACACCCTGACTGGCCCAGATGCGGCCTCTATAGAGCATGGCCAAGTAAGAAGCACCCCCGAAAGGCTGCCCCCACCGAATGTCTATGACGTTCCTCAGACTTCTCGGCGAACCCCAGGCAAGCGGAAGAGAGCGGCTTCAGAGGCTACACGGGAGAAGAGACTGGCATCACAGAATACACATAAGAGGGCACTATCGTCGCGTACGCCTCAGGGAAGAACAGCATCACAGAGTATCCCGGAGACAAACCGCTTTCTAGCAAAGATCCTCACTCATAGCTACGACTAGTGCAGACGAAGGTCAGAATGCCACCGGGCACCAGAGGATGTAGACATGTACCGATGTCATTGCTGCTCGCACCTCCGGGCCATGTTCGTGCTGCCCGTTCTGCTTCTTGTTGTCGTGTTATGACCCTGAAGCAAGCAATGTCGTGTTACGACTCGCGCAAGTGGGAATTGATAACAAACTTGAATTCTCTGCCGCGTCAATTGCCTTACAGAGAGCGACTGCCTGCACTCACAAGCGATTAACACTGGCGGTTAAGACGATGCTACGATTCTATTATAGTAATTAATGACTTGTACCAAACCCATAACTAGGAAAACGTTCTTGTTCATAAGCAATGTTATGCGTAGCGCGCATGGGCGACAGGGGAACGCGGTAGCGGACACACGGAGCTGTCTGCTGCTGAATATGGCGGAATGGTACAAAACAGCGAGAACTTCTACTAGCATAAGCCGGGTAAATGGAGTACCGGGAGTTGCACACCATAGACGAGCAGGAATGAACTATCAACTATTGCGTTGTATTCTGCTGACGGTCCAAAAAGCCTGCCCGTCATCTGACTTTGGAGCCCGTCGAATCGCCTCTTTAAAAGCACTTGAGTTTTGTAGCAAGGCAGAACTTCGCACATACAACCATTACGCCCCTCTTGTGGGTATCCCTCTAGCTTCTTTGTCACTAGCATTAGTGGTTTCAGAACCTGCTCATATCGCGTGATTGTTATCCAGTCATCCGCTGTCAGTTTATCTTCTGCAATCGCAGGCTTGATGGCTCGTTTCGTTTGCTTGTTGGAATCCTTCCTTTTGTTCTTTTGCATGGTCTGTTCCAAACGTGTTTTAAAGGCTCGCTCCCCCTTTTCAACGTATGCATCTGTCGCAGCCCGGTTGCGACAAGCTGTCTCAGAGGCGAAGCAGTGTGGATTCCATCGTGTATCATTGGGCCTCTTGAGCTCTAAAGGAGGGCAGCGGCGCTCGTCTTCTTCAAGAAGACAATCTTGACATTCGATTTGAAGAGCTTTGAATTCTCTTAAACGACTGCCTCCCGCATGCCTGTCAGTAATCCACATAATAATATTGCGAAGCTTGTCTAGAGCTCCTTTGCGCCGTCATAGTTCTAGACCATCTCGCAGATGCCGAATATAAGCATTCTCAGCCTTAAAGGGCTTAAGATCCTTGCCATACATAATTTGCATGGCCACAAGGATGGAAATGTGTTCTGCGCGACGTAACGTTCGCTTAGTTGGGTCAAATCCAAAGGTATTACCTAAAGTTTCGATAGCTTCATCATTATTAGCCGCATTATCCAGTACAAAATAGCCAATACGCTTCTCAAGGCCAAACTCAATAATAATAGCTACAGCTCTATTTGCATTATTCTCACCGGTATGTCTATCGCTAATAGAAGTGTAACGAGCTAAGGCCCGTGGAGGTCGCTCTGGATTGAGGTCAGATATACGCCGATTGACAAGAGCTTGCTCTATTGTATCGTATATCCGGAAAAATTGAGTCGGCGCTTCTTCTGGACCGGGCCACCAGGATCCAAACTGTGTTTATCCTTTAGGTGTCGGATCTGGGAATGTGAGCCACCAGTGCTGGCATAGAGGAGCTTTATGGGCCCTTTTTGTGATGCATGACTTGCAAAACCCAGTAAATTGTTTCGGATTTGATATGCTGGATTCTATAACCATAATCCAACGTCCAAGATGTGTACTGTCGCCCAGAATGAGGTGCCTTTGCATACCCCGGATATTTGCTCCAATCAAGCCCCTTATAGGCATCATCAGAGTCATCCGTAGTTACTACTTAGAACGTCACTACTTGTGGGATTTTCTACAAGTATATATAAGTGCTGAGAGGGACCGAGACTGGTTATTAGTGCCCACCGATAGGATATAAGACTCGCTGTCGTTATTACACTCAGTTATTTTGTTGAAATTATTTTGTGAATAGGAAGCATCGTAGAAACGCGTAATCAAGGGTCACGAAAAAGTTAAATACATACATGGCATAACGTATAATTGCTTTTGTCGTCGTGGAGCACCATCAAATGTCACTCAGGCAGTACGGAGGCGGTCCAGGCGGTCCAGCCCATTTGGACGCCTATTAGGAACACTGAATCTGACGTAGACCTTCTGAACAGCACATGTTACCAGGAAGGTCGATGTGTGGGAGTCTGGAATCACCGTAGTGACGCCGCTGAACAAGAGCCGATGGAATCTGAACATCGAGGCAGCCATCGCGTTCCAGAAGCGGCAACAGTTCCCGCTCCGTATTTTCGTGTCCGAGCATATGTGGAAGGATCACCAGCCAACAGAGGAGGAGTCCCTCATGATGTTGAGCTACGCGACGACAGTGCCATTCCGGTGTCTGCTGTCTTCCTGTTCCGGGCATGCCGGCCGACACTGTCCTATTAAGTCCGATCAGCACAAAAATAGAGGACCAGCGGAAGCGTCCTTGGCAGAGGAGCGACGTGAGCAGGCGCAGACCACCTTGCGCCGCGGCATTCGCATGCACGGACTATAAAGTACAAAGCAAGACACTACAGCACGTGGCGCTGGAGCTTCAGGGAACTAGAAGGACGAACATCGATGGCGAGGCTGTTGCCAGCATACGTGACCCCCACAGCCTATACGTTAAGCTGTCTCGGTGTAGGTCACTGGACGGCATCATGCTCTTATCCAAGGCGCGCGAGAGCGACTTTATAAGCAACAAAGTGCCCGACAGCATGATCAGGGCAGAGGAGCGGCTGGAGCGGCTAAGCGAGGAGACATTGAGGGATGCAGACGCTTGGAGGTGGACATGACGCAACCTTAAAAATTTTTCGTCGAAAAAGATTGCACGATAGATAGCGTGAAGAAATGGTCCCAAAATTGAAAATCATAAGTCAAGGAAGAGGCGTTTGCATGCGTGCGTTTGCGTGCGTGAAATCAAGGTTGCGGAGAAACGACGCGTGGATGGGAAGGTGCTGGACGCGATCATCAGGCTGCACTATATTTGGAATTCAACGCGGAACTGACGTGACAGGCATCCAGAAACACGTGACTCATGCAAGGCGCTTATACGCTTTCGTACATCGAAACCGATCACGTGGCTTTCAACCGTTGCCTGTTTCCCCGCCACCATGCTGCGCCACGACCATATCAGGGCTTCATAATTGCGTGCCAACAGCTTATACGAGATGCCCGGCGTACCTTCCAGTCGTGGCTGCGATGCATGTCGCAACGATCGCAAAAAGGTTAACTGGGCATATTGCGCACAGCTACCCGAGCTAACCTCGTTTTTAACAGTGCGATCAACGAGCGCCGATTTGTGGTAGATGCACCCACCGCGATATTCCTTGTGTTGGCAATGGTCGGGTACGGTATAAATTTGTAACTGAGAGAGTATCACCGCATAACGCAACGACTCCGGCTAAAAAAAGCAGATTCTTTGAGTCGAAGTTGCTCGTCTGGTTGCCAGCTCGAACACCTACGAGTAATGCTGACCGGCTCGTTTCTGCATTCTCGGGACTATTAACAGCAAAGGACGCCAGCTATAACCTTGATTGCTTTGGCCAATGGTTCCCCATCATGCTATCACGATTTGGCGCTGATGATGTACTGGACCGCTCTGCTAATGCATTCTTGGAGGGCCTGATGAGCATCTGGGCGCCCAGCCCAGAGCAAACGGTGAAAGCTATCATGCAACATGGAAGAGCATTGAGGTGTTTGCGCGAAGCTCTGTACGATCCTATCCGGGCCAAGTCACCTTACACCCTCTACGCAACCATTCTATTTATGATATCGCGAGTATGTGAACATTCCAGCGGCTTCGCTACGATATCAACACTAATGCTAATGATGCAAGAACTGGTTCTCAAAAGGGCGCACTGCACAGGTCAGCCACATGGAAGGCATAGTCTACTTGTTGAATGCAAGCGCTCGCAATGGGTGGGCTTGTCGCGATGACAATTTGCGTGTTAGTATGCTTTTTCCTGCGGTATGCGCACCATCTTCCTATTTTTTACGCAATTGCTAATTTGGTATATGGTCCAGGCTATGGAAGCAATCATTAACCGTAAGATTACGGTCGACCAATGGTATACACTCCGCCACGCGCCTTCCTTCGGCCCACACCAACCACTCCATGAGGACCATAACCTGCCTATTGGATCACTCAGCCTAGCTACAATTCTCAACATCCCAAATCTCCTAGATGAGCCACAGTGCCACCGGGCTCAAATTCAGACAGAATATGCGCTTCTGCAACACGAATACCCGATTATTCTGAAGCGACTGAAGGCCCTGACTGACTTTCCTGATCGAGCGGAGTCTCAACAAAGCCTTCTGGTTGTACAGATTCAACTGGAGACCGCCGGCATATACATGCTCTCTTATTCCCTAATACTAAATGCCTTTCTCGCGACGCTTGATCCGCTTGATAATAGACTACATTGGGAGTCGATAGAATTGGCGAGAGAAGCTATCCGACTATCTAGGGAATGCGCATCACACCTGCCTGTCGGAATGGGTTTTGTGCCGTGGGCTCTCCTGGCGGCATGGGCAGCTACCAGTGACTATAGTATTACGCGGGAAATTATGGTTACGATGCGACAAAGTGATGTATATTATGCGGACCTGGAATACGTTCGAATGTTTCGTGCTTTAAAGCGGCGGATTGCCAAGTTGAAGGGGGCGGCATGCGAGAGCTGCCAGTGCGTGGGGGAATCACACATTACTTGCAATGACACACTCAGTTTTGACTGGGGGATGGGCTTATTGTGAGCTACGGACCAAACCTTCAATATCACTGCCTTCAGCTACATGGGAGCGTACTGGGCACACTAACGTAATATAATCATGAGCGCTGTAATCGATTCCTTCCACATATATTGTTAATTCGTAATTGAATGATCGTAGTACCTGCCACATGTTAACTGACAGTTTCGTAATAAAAGTAAACACATGAAGGCAATACTCTAATCTATCTATAGAAATGGCTTCATGATCGGTATTCAGAGCTTGCGCATTATAAACATCGCGTCATCGTCACTTGGTTAATGGATGGCGGCATCGGCTTGGTTAAGCTGCCGAGCGACGAATATTCTGGAACTTTGGTTGCCACTGCCTACAAACAAGGTTCCGACCACTCCGACTTAAGCGGTCGTTAAGGAGTTATCCTCAATTAACAAGTAATTGGTTAGATTGATCACTGAAGATCTGAACTATCCTAGAGACTAACTAACTATCTACTTATATACTTGTTCATCTCTTCGTGATCGCTGGGATCGCTAGCGATCCTAGCTATCCTTTCCCATGGGTCGCCAGCGATCATGCGACCCAGGCGATCCTCACGGTCACGTGACCGCGGGGTCCTGTGGTGACATACCAAGGCATATTCCAGGCGCCAGGCCCGTTGGGCCGGCCGCTATGTCACGTTCGTAACATAACGGTCTCAACTGAGTATATTTACAACTAGCTGAGCAAGTACTACGAGTATCCGAAGATGAAGAAGACGGGATCGAAAAGGGGCTATTCAGCTAGCTGGAATGGCCTCTTATATGACTTACATGGGTCAATAATATGACCAATACATCGAATACAACGTTGTTTAGCATTGAACCGTATGCCATATTCAGTAAGTAAGCGTGACTCCATAACCTCTAAACAAGTATTATTCGAAGTCGCATTGTCCCCTGTATGCCACCCAAGCTTAGATTGGATATTGAAATCCTTCACAGTTTGGAGAATAAGGCTAGCTTGCTTCTCTCCACTATGGGAATATCGACATTCTGGTAATCCAAGTAGAGCCTTCTATAGCTTGCCATCTTGGTCAACCCATTATACACAGATAGCAAGAAGAGAATAGCGATGGGGCGATGTCCATAGATCTGATGATATATGGATTGGGCTACTGCTGGTGGCAAGGTTCTCCTTTATATGGCCCTGGTAAAGTGTATAATTCGAAGCAATATAGAGAACTGCAGTACGACGTGAAGTAATCAATAGATCTTCAATAGCTGGGTTACAAGCCAGAGCAAGATCTCTCATCTCACTCCATTCAACAGCAGAGAAAGGCATTCGACGCCGAGTTAATAAGCCAATAATAGCTTCTCGGTAACCTTGTTGATTGAAGCTATTTCGAAGGCCATTATTGGAAAGAATAGGCGTAAACATCGATGATATATCCCTTTGCGGTGGTAATATAAACGGGGAAGCCTCAAAAGACTGTCTGGATAGGGGGTGAAGAGATATATGTAACGGGCTAGGCCCGTGGAGGTTAGGGTAGCCCTCGACCATCTGTCACGTAGCTGTCTAGGTAGTACGAGAAAAGTTCGCTGAACGCAATGCTATTGTTGACTGTTCTATATATGAGATAGAAAATAGACAACAAACTTGAAGGAGGACAAATCCCTTTCCTCCTTCCACAGTTCACTTCTCTATTTATATACAAGGTTGTTGTGGTTCTACCAGCTGGCGGCTTTCCTTTGCCAGCTGGCAAACACTTGTTGTTGAAACTTCTCTATTTGCCAGCTAGCAAGCGAAAACGTTGCGTAGCAACTATTTCGGCATTGTAACTGTCGTAAGTGTTGTGACCGATAGACTTTAGAGCGATCCAGCAGGTCGTGACATATTGTTAGCATGAAAGCCCTTTATTGTATTGTATCAATATGGCGAGCGGCATATTTTTATTGTCTCAAAATGGATGGTGGCGTATTATATCATATGTATCGCAATATATTGTTATATTGCCGTATTATTAGCAACACTGCACCTTGCTGTGGCCATTATGGATGTAATTGATGACTGGGGATTTGTCTCTAAACTTGGATATTTCGTGATGGACAACGCCGGCAGTAACGACACTATGATAAAGTGTCTTTTCTCTTGGTGAGTATAATATTACCGTGCCACCCATTGTTTCAGCCCCACACAAGCACGCAGAGCGACGCAGAGCTAATATGTATCAAAGCACTTCTATGACAGTACGATATTCGATACGATCCCACAGCCCACCGGCTCCGCTGCCAAGGCCATATTATCAACCTAGCCGCAAAAATCATTCCTCTTTGTGACTGATAAAGAGAAGATCGAACGCGACGATTCTGGTTTGCATAACGTGACTCTCCAACAAATTGAGGCGTGGCGGCGAAAAGGGCCTCTTGGCAAACTTCATAACTTTGTGGTGTATATTCAGCAGAGTGTCCAGCGCTGCCAAAAGTTTATGGTTATAAGCTAAAACCGCAAGCTTGCGAGGGATAACAATGCTAGATAGAATTCATGGTATTCTATGCTACGAGCCGCCTTGCATCTAAGAGATGCTATTGAAAACTATTTTAAAAAATGGGGCGAGGTGAATTGTGCTAGGGACGAGCTCTCTGCTGAGGACTGGGCCACTGTTGAGAAGATCATGCCATTTCTAGAGAAGCTGAAGATAACAACCAAGGCCCTAGAATCGTAATTCGCCACTCTTGATAATATGCTCCTAGCCATGGACTTCGTGTTGGCGCAGTTCGAAGTAGGAAAGGAGACGTTTGCAAATGATCCGATTATGGCGCCAATGTACAACTGGGGCTGGGCAAAACTAGACAAGTACTATCGGCTTACAGACGAATCCACTAAAGAGGGGCATATGGGAAGCAAATTGAGGATCTGATGAAGGCTAGCGTTAAGCGTATTACGAAAGAGGACTTTCCCAGCGTTTTATGGCACTTTCCATGCTTTAATGACAAAAATAAAATGTTCAAAGACGGGTTTCGAGGGACCGAAATTTTGAACAGGTTATATCGACATTGAAACCTAAGTTTAAGACGCCGAGTCTAACAAATTCGCGCCCGGGAACCGCCGGTTCCTAGAGTTACGCCGTTGAAGTGAGTTCACAGTCTAAACTCTTGAAAGGTCGAATGACTGATCACTAAACTAGCTCCCCAACTAAAAGCCTTGATGCTCTTGAGAGTTTGAAAGAGGTGCCGTAACAGTCGTGTATGAAGTCGCCCTCCTACATGCACAAGTGTGTGGCCTTCAAACTGCAAATGAGCTAATAAGCAAGCGTCGGCCAAGCAAAAAAACTAGACTTAGAGCAGAAGGGTCACTATCTGTGCAAGATGCAAGAGGTCTTAAGTTGCAAATGGAAGTAAATTATCAGGTAAAGGACGGAATGTGCCAGCATAGCAATTGTAAAAGCGTGGTTTGAAATACGTAGTCGGCGATGCGGTATCTTCGGTATAACTGGTTCCAATGCGTGCACTTGTGACATGGAAGCGAGAGTCAGCGGAAAAGAGGATTTCAATCAGAGTAGTATGGTAATATCACCCTATTAGACGCAGTAGCCGGACCGTTAAGACGGCTCGACGTGGGTGTTCGAATCGGTTACACTATTAGGAGCCCTGCTTGAGTGATATGATGTCAAACTGTACGGCAGTCACTACATATATGGTCTTACGTTGTCGAAGTCGATGAAGCATAAAGGAAGGCAGAAGCCAATTGCCTGCCCGTTTTACGAGCATACCTGTTGTGACTATTGTGACATTGGACGTATGTCACTTTACCAGATGAGTGAAGGAACAGTTAAGTCACTGGAAGTGGATAACATGGGAAAAGGAAGTGAATACAGGATGTATTCGCTGTATTTAACTAGAGCAGTTCCGACCATGGAACTAGAAGAGAACAACGAACTTTTACCACAACCTCTCACCTTTCGATAACACGTGTTATTAAGCCTTGAACCAACAATACCCAATCAAAGGATGATACTACGATCTCGTATTCGGCGCTTTGCGGACACCCTTCGCACAATCCTTCGACACGGTATTTTTAACGCCTAGACGTCTCTTTGACGAGATGGGGTCCCAAGCAGATCAAATTTTCAATTTTCTGAACTGAGAATATTATTTAGCCCGGAGGCAGCTAATCGTAGAGATGCCGCTTTCATGTCTTGATTCACCGTTGGTGTTGGATAAGGTGCTCAATTTTCTTGGCAATGATTGTCTTGATTGCATTGGGCGTTCGCATCGCTAACCTGATACTCAATACAATCGCCATTTCTACATGGCACCCACGCCACGTTGGTTTCTCTAGTGGAGCATTGTGGCTGACAACCGCGACCACCACACTGGTTGCACCGAAGGCAGTTAACTGTATTGACTGCGAACCATTGCTTACGCCATAATCGATTTTGTGACGGTCCACTATAGTTTATTGTGTAGGTCAGCATCGAAGTAACGGTTTCGCCATAGGTATAGGTTGAAGTAATTCCTAGAGTTGCTGCTTCGGATATTTTGTATCCAAAATTAATGCCGGCCGTGACAGACCATGCAATGGCCTTCGCTTCGCTTCATGCGATAGAGCATGTCTGATTCAGCTGGCAATCAAGTATGTCGCTGGCACCGTACCACCAATAATCCCGGTGTGAGTCGACGGTCTTGCAGTCTGTCCAGTAGGTAAATGAGGCATTGGTGATACTGATAAGTGAAACAATGCCAAATACAACATGATGCAAACAGACCATCTTCGCTATAGGGTCGATTGTTGTTTATATATAAAGCAGGTGACAGGTAAGCCCTCTCACTACTAGATGTACGAGCTCGGTGATGTTATGACGATATATCCGTATAAGTGCAGGTGGGCCGGCGTGCTTAATATAAGACTTTCTCTCTACAACGTTTCGCGATAACATAAGTAATCCGCAACATACCTCATGGGAACTAGGGAACTGGCTACCCTCGTGTATGGTTAAATAAGGCGACATACAAATTAACTTGATATCGCTTAGTTGTGGTAAAACT